CACTTAATGTAAAGGTGAGGTGGCTATCAAATTTTAACAACTTGTCCAAAGTCATGCCATTGCACTGCATTGCCTCCCTAAATTTGCCACCTTCTCTTCGCTCAGCTTATCCTCCTTCTACATAGAGGTAACATACAGTTGTCGCCATTCAAGATTTCCCCTATTTCCTTCATGGGCCCTTGGCTGGTCCTTTGTTGGTCCTCTACAATTCCTTTTTTAACATCAATCTTTGTACTAAAGTATTCTGTCATGATTTGTGGACATTACGAGCAAGAGTAAAACATATGCACAACCAGGAAAAGGGCAGTGCCTGGAAGTTGGAGGGGATTTGGCTGGGAGTCGCATGGAGAAGGCTGCAGTTTGGCTGCCGTTTGACTGGGAAGGGCGATTTTTTAATGGCTGCTACTATAGGAATCCTTTGTTCCAGATCCGCCCTCTACATAGAGGTAACATAGGAATCCTTTGCTACAGGTACAAAATTCGCGTTCCGTGTGAACGTACCTTTATTGTGTTTTCACATATTTAGTGCGCCCCGAAAGTTAAAATTATAGTTGCTTTCACACCAGCTTTTTGTAACTCAGGACAAAACGCACAATTAAAGAGCATCATATCACCATGACAACCAGTTGAAAACCAGAAGCCCTCCTGCTGAAAAAAGTAATTGAGAAATATGGGTCAAACTTACATAACGTTTTTCTTTTCTTCTTTTTTTTATGTGGATTAACTATTTTTAAACTACTGGCAAATTATAGTATTTGAAAATGAAACTCGAGTGCGGCTTGTAAATAATATGCTGATGCCAAATATAAATATCAGCCAGATTCAGGAGAAAACTCAGATTAATGCTTCTTAACCTGCACTGAGAGATCCTTATTTATGTCCTGATATAAAATGATATTATCACACCAGTGCGGTTCTTTTCAGACATTGAAAAGCACACCAGAGCTTGGCTGGAGCCAAACTCAGACCACCTCTTCATGCTGCACTAGTTTGGTGCTTATTAGTGTCTAATTGTGCTTACATAGTGGCCCAAATTGGACCAAGTTTAGGTCGATCTGAATTTAGATTGACCACAGCTGCAGGTGTGAAAAAAGCCTTAGTCACATCAAACAGGACTGTGAATACAGAGCAATACATTTTAACCAAAGCAAAGAAACTTGGGCTTTTGCCAACAGTGGACATTTCATCACAACAATGACACAACAAAAATGAGGAAATGTACAGTGGGCAAAAGCACAAACGTTTTGACGTGACCAATCCAAACGTCTGACTTAAATCAACTTAAATCTATGTAGGGGTCTCAAGATCAGATTGATAGCAAAGAGACCCTACAATCTGAAAGAGTTAAAGTACATAATTCCAGATCAATGGAATGTACTTAAATACCACTGGCCTTTGTGCTTTTACATGTCTCCTTGCTTCCACATAACTGACTCATATGAATGAGTGATTAACAGATTTCTGAAGCACTTCAAGGCTGCTGAGCAGTCATGAAATTGTTTGAATCAGGGGTTACAACAGAGAAACAGCTGAAACATAAAGATAACCGGTACTTGAGGAGCAGGTTTGCAAAACATTACCAGTGGGTCCATGCTAAAATGGTCAGAAATAATAGAAACCATTTTAATACTGAAACAGCTAATAAAAGCTGTCCTATTAATCATTGAGAGAAATACGAACAGTTCTGAACATGCTACTTTACAGCTATAAATAAAAGCTGAAAAGTATTAATTCACAAAATATTGTACATCACATCTTATCATCTATGATATACGTATGCCATTTCAAATTAAAAAAATGCTTGTTGAATCACAGTAGGCTAGCTAAAGTCATGCTTTATCAGAGCTGTGAAAAATACAGGCTTGAATATGTAGAGATTTCCTGAAAAAATAACTTTTTGTCTTGAGATACAAGTTTTAAAAAAACAGACAAGTCCTGACAAGGAACTACGTCGGTTTACTAAAGAATGGAGAGAGATTAAGTTTCTCTTTTTACTTTCTTCTTTAAAAGGTACAATTTTGTTCAACATATTTTTATTTTAAAAAAACTTTCTTGTTATTACCATAATACTATTCCAAGGTAAGCCCTTTATAGATTTCAAATTATAAGGACACAAACCATGGTCTAATCTTACATTAATCGGCTTTGATACATAAGAGCAGGTAAAATACTTTTCGTAAGAACTTCTGTTATTTTACCACAGAGCCTAGGAACTGACATGGGAAAGAAAAATAAATAACATCCGCACAAAATACTAATTAGCTTTCTTTCATGCACAAACTTGTTATCATGATGTACTTGTGGCCAAAGCATAAGTGTTGGATGCAAAAAATTCTAAAACATAATCCTACTACAGTGCACCTTCTGCAACAGTTCGAGGAACAAACCATGATAGACAAGGATAGTCTGACGAAGCTTTATTTTAGGCTTACAAAGAGCTATAGTGATTCTGTTCATTTGTAATGATTTTTTTATTAGTGAGGCATTTGAATAGAAGATTGACAGCCAGGTATGTATGATGACAATGCTGTGAAATAACACCTGCAGCTGTCCAATCGATGTCTGTCTCTAGCACTTTATGTTTCAGCTCAAGGTTCAATTGAAGGAGGAAAGGATGCAAAAATGTTCATGTGTTCAGTGCAGAGTGATCCAATTAAGCAGAAAATAAGTGCATTCATTACTTGTCTTATAGTATTATGTGCATCCTATAAAGTGTTGGGCTTCACTGGTTTCTATTGCTAAAAAAGGATGATTTGGAAGTTGATTCTCAAGTACCAGTAGTCTGTGGTGGCAACTCAGCAGGTGTTTGAGGAATAGAACTTAGTCAGAGCTGCGAAGCTTCAAGGATGAATATAGAGGGAAAAAAGCATGAGTTTAGACTCTAAAGAACAGGTGGTAAAGCGAAACCCCAAAATGTTTTAACATAGCAAAAATGCTCTTATAACGGCCACATAAAGTACTCTGTACTTAGTGTTAAATAAGAACAACTTAGTATTTCACGGGAACAAGTAGGTATTTTGTGCCCACTTTTATATGTTTCCTCTATGTCAGTTTCCAGGCTCTGTAGTCTATAAATGCAGTAACATAACATGCCCCTTAAAGTTGTAGGGAAGCGGCCGTTCCAACCGTTAAATTTCCAAATTCTCCCGAATGGTGCCCGACTTTACATAAGTGAATAAAATGAATGATATTGGTTGTTTATCAAGGGGGATTGTTGTGGTGGAAGGTTCACAAGCGAGTTTGGTTGTGGCCAGTTTGTCAGAAGCATCTTGCTAACCAGTTAGCAACTTAGTGCTAGTAGGTTCCAAGTGGAAAATTACACTGGGACTAAGTAGCACAACGACACTATCAAGGAACGCTATGGTAAGTGGAAACATGAGGAGGAGGAAAGTTTTGTGTCCGAGGTCGTGGATGAGTCTCCTTCGTCATACATTTTTTCATTCAGAGGAGGAAAGCGGGGACGAAGACGTTGTGGAAGAGGACGCCAGGGTGACAGAAGCTTGGTTTGGTGTAGAAGGCTTACAGCCGTACATGTTTGAGCCCTTGCCTCGCAACGATGCCAGTTCTGTTAGCTCTACGCCTGCCGAAGACACAGACGTCCATCCCCAGGAACAATGGGACGGAACTCAATGGTAAAATCAATGATTCGTATTTCAACCCTTGCGTATATTAGCTGCGACATATAGATCAAGATGCTAAGACCGAAAAAATTTGATTGACAGATGATCGTTGATATATGATTGGCCGAATTTAGGTGTTCAGTGTGACGTATAACTAACTGGCCTGAATAAAATATCGGAAAAAAACAACACAGATTTTAAGAAAGGATTTTTTTTTTTTTTTTATATAAACTTTCTAAATTTTGGGACAATATTGTCTGATAAAACAGTGCATTTATATACATGTTAATCCAAAATAATTTGACATTTAAATATATAACTTCCCTACGACTTTAATAATGTTTTCTGAAATATTTCACAAATCAGACAAAGGTTAGGAAAATGATTAACCAAATAATTGCTCATTATTAATCATTATCTTACTACTGTCTCAAATCCTAATCTTGCATGAAAATTATATGCTCCAATATTTTAGGGATTACATTGGGGAAAATTTAAAATCAGAAATGAGGGATTTGAGTCAAATTTCTATTTTATGCTGTTAGCTTTGGTACTCTTCAAATTTACACACTGAGCTCATGTCAGGGACACTTTTAGACCTGACAGGCCCATCATAGGCTATGTATCGCCCTTTTTAATTTAATTACCTCTAAATCTGCAGCACAGAAAGCACCACCACATCCTTTCATAAGTGCTGAGAGAAAAACCTACAGCTATGCTCAACATTTTCTCTATTTATCTGAATCTGTTTTTTCTTTGGAATGGCTTTCTGACACAGTGGTTGCCTAATCTTGTGAAAATACCCTGTTATAAATTTCTAATCATACATTAAACGCACAATGCTTTTAGGCGGAGCAACAACACGGTTATTATCCTTTATCAGCATGGATGCAATTTGGGTAAGCATAGTATACAAAATATTATTTTTCAAATATGTAAACGGGACAAAAAAGGGAGAAAACAATCTTAACGGGTCACAAGAACAAAAAATGGGGGAAAAAAACAGCGCAGAAATATGTATACGGGAACATTTAGTACAAACGGGATAATTCGACATGTAGTATCATTCCAGTAACAAAATAAACATGTTTCATATATATATATAGGTCAACAAAAGGAAACACCATCTGCTTTATCTCCCAATGAAGGAAGGGGGCAGGTTTTATCGACTAAAGATGAAGGAAAAACAACAGTACCTAGGTGTCATGTGAGATATAATATTAATCTTATTAACTGAAATGTATTTATTACGGATTAAAAATTATGCTCGTTGAATATTCAAGCGTTTATATTTTGTCCGACATTCATGTTATGAGATTTAACCAGAGTGACGTGAGAGAGAGAGAGAAAAAAACGTCGTCCCAGAAACGTTTAGGTTACCTGAAACAACGAGGGCCTCGTTGGGTCCAACGGTGTGGCAGTTTCCCATTTTAACGACACAAATATAGATATCCGAAACGTTTTCAAACCTAAAAAAACAACTAGTTTGTTTATAAACTTCGCTTAAATCGCACTTCACGCCCCTATCGTCAATTACGGGATTTCTTTCCCCCTCCTTTCTTTTTTTTTTTTTTTTTTCTTTCAAAATGGAGTCCTTACGTTGCTAGCTTGCTGAGCATAGAGACACTGTACTTCCTGTTTATGTACTTTCAAAATAAAAGTATTAGTCAGAGTGCGCGTTCAGGTGTTTTATTCTAAACATCTCAATGTTGTGTTTCCTGTGTTGTGTTTTTGCTATTTCACTCTGACTCTCTCAGGATTATTGGATGGACCATTGTAGGCGCGGTAGTGTAAATATCCGCACACGGAATTCTAAACATGTCCATGTTAGTGGAGTTAGTGCCAGTGGATTTAACATTTCACTTTATGTCAACGAGGATCTATTGTATTTCCAGACAGTGGAACCAGGCTGCTAATCATAAAACTGAACAATGTCGCAATGAAAGAAATATAATATAATATTTAATTAAAATAAATATAATAAACTCTTTAAAAGCAGGGGCGTCTCTAGGTTTAAGACACAAGGGTGGCTCAGCCCCTGGAAGATAATGCGCGCGCATAGCGCGCGCCGAATTTTTTCAGTGCACCTGCTAAGGCGTTGTCTAAGACAAGGGTGTAACTTTGTGTTGAAAGTTGGTGGGGACGGCTCATAAGGAAAGGGAGCTACCTGCGCGACGCCTTTTTTTTTTTGTTGGAAAGGATAAAGCCAAAAAAATGCGAATAACATTTATCAATTTAATGCTTACAGTTGAAAACATAACTGTTACAATATTCACTTATATATTTTGTGCCAAAAATATCACATAAATCTAAACAGACAGTACAAATCAAATAAATATATCAATTTTGTAGAACATTTATTGACAGTCAATTTTGGGTCACGTTTTAAAATTAATTTACTTTTAAACCAGGACTCGGACAAGATCTTATGGGACCTTAAGCAGAATATGATTAAGCAACTCCGTCTTTCTGTCAAGAACATCCACCAGCAGGGTATCCAGGGGGGGATTTACCATTAGGCAATACTAGGCAGTTGCCCAGGGCCCCAAGTTCTGGGGGCCCCATAAAACTCTGTTTCCATGTATGGTTAATACAACTAATCCTTATTTGTGCACATTAATTATGTTTTTGCTAAAAATCCTTTGGCTAAAATGCCATCAGAACGCTGATAAATAGAGAGAAAAAAGGGACAAGAAGAGAGGGACAAAACCTAGAACAGATAATTCAATTCAATTCAATTTCAATTCAGTTTATTTATATAGCGCCAAATTCACAACACATGTCATCTCAAGGCACTTTACAGTTCAACCAGATCATACAGTCAAATTGAATGATCCAGATAATGGATGTCTATTCTATTAACATTTCTCTATCTGTAGAATGGGTCTGTTTTATGGGTTTTCTTCTCAGGGGGCCCCCTGCCTTTGCCTAGGGCCCCAAATTTCCTAAATCCGCCCCTGAGGGTGTCAATACTGATTTGATAGAATCTTGGAGAGCGGACTATGTTCAACCATCCATTTTCTTTAACCTTATCCCTCAGTGGGATCAGGAGGTGCTGGTGCATATCTCCAGCCACGTTCTGGGTGAGAGGTGGGATCACCCTGGACAGGTCACCAGTCTGTCGCAGTATGTTCAACCAGCTTAAAAGTAATCGGTAATCAGATTTATTATTTGCACTTTTACTAAGTGAACTTTCTAACTCCCTTAAATCTGAAATTCCAATGCCAAAATTGTTTAAATCTTTTATCTTTGGACCCCCTGCAGAGTGACGTCACACCTGCAAGATCTTATCCTTACCTTCCTGCTAGATTGCAAAAAGCAGCTTGCTCATGAGTTGTCAACTTAACACGCTAAATCTTAAATGTACGTGTACATATAAAAGAAAAAGGGGCGCAGTGCTTGCTACTGAATGGCAACACTATCAAAGTCAGGAAAAAGTTTTAAGTGAAGCCGGGATTAAAATAGTAGCTACAAGAAGCTTCAAATAAAAGGTGTTCTTTATGTTCAACCTAAACACCAACTCCGATAGACCATCCGTAGAGCAGGTGTTTAAATTAATCAATCACTGCTGCGAAAGCTTATAGCAGTGAAAGCTAATATACCACAGCCATCACTTAATAAACGCAAAATAAACAACCCTCTAAAAACGGAAAACTGTAATGGACTGAAAGTCCTGTTTTTTATGTGGGAAATTATTTGCGTGTGTTTTAGTATAATTCTGATATATTGGCGCTGTTGTCTGTTTCTATGGCAACGATACTGAATGTAGTGTAGCTTAGAGACCTGCATGGGTCGAGTTTTACCAACCCTCACCCGCCCGAACCCGTTAGGATGACTACTGAACCCGACCCGTCACCCGCGGATATCTTCAATTCAAATGTTATGGGGAGAGGGCGGAGGGGGGTGATGGGGAGAAAGCGAGAGGCAACAGAATATTTTTTCTGAGTTTTTTTTGTCGGGGTTTGTGGACGGTGAGCAGCGGGGAGAACTTTTTTTATTTTCTTTCTGAGGAGCGGCATGAATGGGGTTTTAATCAGATATACACAGCACCGAAAGCAAAATACGTGTACAAAATATTGGTGGGGACATGTCCACACCAGTCCTTAAGGAAGTTACGCCTATGATTGTTTAGATTAACTTGTCTTCTTTATGGCTTTTATTCGGTGCTTTACTGCATTTGTTTTGGGAAAATATGAGGAAATAATAAATACAGAAAAAAAATATATTTTTTTTAAAATCGCAAAATAATTATAGGGTGGCTAATGCCAAAGAAAGGGTGGCTGAAGCCACCCTTAAATAGGTCTAACGACGCTTATGTTAAAAGCATAAAAATATATCTAAAGCCTTTGTTGCACATTCATTAACTTACAAATAAACTTTCTGAATTTAAATAGCTGAAAAATGAATGTGTTATTTTATAACAGCACAGAAGAACAAGATGTACATAAATCTTTTGTCTAGCGTACTATTCTTCCTAGTCTAGGCTCCTGTTTTCCCCAGGCTTCCCCACCCTCACTTCCTCTCCTCCATCTATCAAATTACTTGTTGCACTATTCTCAAGCTTCCAGCAGGGTTAGCTGCAGCACAGAGACTGAGATCCTAATAAATTGTTTCTGGGATAAATTAATTCTACATAGAAATGAAAAGGATTAGGGTCACTGAAAAAAACCCTTATTTTTAAATTTATTTCAGTTTAATATGGAAAAAAAATGTCAGAATTCTGAATTTTTCTCAGAATTCTGACTTTAATCTCTGAATTTTGGATCTTACAGTTTTTTTGGATTGCTTACACACTAAAGTTAAAAGTAGTACACTATTAGCAAAACCTTACACTCAAGAAGCAAAACATCAGCCCGTATTTGCACAACTATAAGCACATTGTCAACCTCACATTTGTTGCAAAACTCTACACACAGTGATTTGCAAAACACTAAACACACTTAACATACATTACACACAAAAATCTATTATGAAGTCACTTCCTTGCAATGCCAAAGCACTGACTGTCAAATTACTGCACCTTCCAACCAATTGATTCAACAGTTATCAGGTGTGCAAACACTTGTTTGCTTAATTGTAGACACACCAATCAGGTGTATAAGCACTATAAAAAGCAGCAGGTGAGTTCATCGGTCTTCAAGCACAATGGAAAGAGTCAGAGAAATAGTAAGACGAGGTGGAGGAGAAGGAGGAGGACAAGGACAAGGAGGAGGACGGCCTCCTATGTTCACAGAACAGCAAGAGAGGGAGATAGTAAACAGGGTTTTGGCCAACAATGCTATAACCCTCAATCAGCTCCAAGCTAACATTGTCAATAACCACGTCGGTTTCAACAATATCCATCAGGTCTCAACATCAACACTGGCACATATCCTAATAAAAAACCATATTCAAATGAAGAAAATTTATCGACTGCCTTTCGAGCGCAATTCCGAAAGGGTGAAACGACTGCGGCATGATTATGCAGAGGTATGTATTCACCTAAGCATTGTGATCTTGCATACTGTCTAATAATCTTTTACTGTACTGTAATATGTATACGAGATCTACACTGAACACAATTTTGCCTGACACTGTTCTTCAGAGAGTTTTACAAATGGATGGAGAGGAGATCCAGCATGAGTTTATCTACGTAGATGGGGCTGGGTTCAACCTGATGAGAAAACGAAGGAGGGGAAGAAACATCATTGGCCACAGAGCTATAGTCAATGTCCCAGGGCAACGTGGGGGTAATACAACACTCTGTGCAGCCATTACACAGAATGGGGTCCTCCACCGCCATGCCCATATGGGCCCTTACAACACAGCACTCATACTTACATTCTTGGACCAATTGCACAACATAACAGCAGCAAATCAAATCGATCATATGCAATACATTGTTGTCTGGGACAATGTGTCTTTCTACCGCTCTGCTCTGGTTCAGAACTGGTTTCAGCAACATCCACATTTCACCGTCCTATATCTTCCACCATACTCTCCATTTCTCAACCCTATGGAAGAGTTTTTCTCGGCATGGCGGTGGAAGGTATATGATCTCCGTCTCCAGGCTGAGGTACCTCATCCAAGCCATGGAGGAGACCTGTGACCAGATGGAGGTAGCAGCAATGCAAGGATGGATTCGTCATTCAAGACGTTTTTTTCCAAGGTGACTTGCTAATGACAACATTGCCTGCGATGTTGATGAAATTCTCTGGCCAGATCCAGCTAGGCGAAGAGACAATGTCTAGTTTTTGTTTTGTTTTGTTTTTACAGTAAACTTACAGTACAATACGTAAAGTGACATTTTGTTACAGTATTATGAATCTCCATGTCAACATTTTGGGCATGTTGAGAAATAAAAGAGTTTCTTCAGTCTGCAACATTGGTCTTGTGTAGTGTTTAGTGAATTTACATTATATTTGTACTTTGTTGATGGTAGCCAACTCTAATCATAGGGAAGTAGAAGTGCTAAAAGTGTTTTAGATTTATCACAGCAGAGTGTAACTCGTGCAAACAGAGTATAGTAATGTGAAACGTGTGTGTTTCATATGGTAACAAAGTGTGGTTTTTAAACAGAAGTGTATAGTTTTTACAAGAGTGTTTAATTATGCAAAGGATCTGTAGTGTTTTGCTAATTGGGTGTGTGGTTGTGCTAATTGTGTGTAGTGTTTTGAAAACACGGGCCCTGTTTTTCAAAATCGTGCTTAAGCAATCCAAAAAAACTGTAATGTAGATGGGCTTCATTGACAAAGATGTGAGTTGTTTGGGAGGGCCAGTAACAGATTTTACATGCCAGTCCCTGGTGATGCTACTTTATTAATGGAAGAGAAGAAGGTGATTAAAACAAGAGAGCTAGTCTCTAAAACAGACATCGCTACGGCTTGATGCTAACATGTTTGTTAGCTGTCAAAAAACAGTCAGAATTCTGAGATTAAAGTCAGAATTCTGAGATTAAAGCCAGAATTGTGAGAAAAATTTCAGAATTCTGAGATTAAAGTCAGAATTGTGAGAAAAAAAGTCAGAATTCTCAGAAAACCTTCAGAATTCTGAGATTAAAGTCAGAAATGTGAGAAAGAATTCTGATATTAAAGTCAGAATTGTGACTTTTTTAGTTGTGATTTTTTTGTCATATTATATTGAAATAAAATTTTAAAATCATAACTTTTTTTTTATTATTGCCCAAATCCTCTTCCGTAACAGAGAGTTGTTTTTGTCTTTTTGTTTTTTTTCTTACCTGCAGTGGCTGTCCTAAAAGAAATCACAATGAGGGACAGGGTGGGGCCAATGTTTTTTTCCATGTGGGCACAGAACAAAAGAACAACAACTAAAAAAAGAGGGCAAAACACATCTTTCAGTTTATTAAAAGAGCCACAAAGCCTCGGTCCCAGACTCCTGATCTAACAGATGAAAGCTGTGAACATGTTTTGTAGGACTGACGCTTTAAGCTGACTGTAATTTCTAAAAAAAAAAAATTCAAATGTCAAATATTAAATCATTTACGGTCTCTTCTGTCAGAGCATGTCTTAGTAAATTAATTTGGTATTTAATTGTAAAAACTGATCTAAAAGAGTTCAAATCAATATATCTGCCCTTAATTTGAGCAGGTAGATAAGATGATCAGCCAATTAAATTACCGGTATGCTTTTAAAATAGGATGATTAGATTTAATGCTCATTAAATAAAATAATGGAGTTCTTATTTTAAAAGCTTACTAAATCTTACTTAAGGATTAAAAGGTCTGCAACCTTTTCAAATGATGTAACATTGTAATCAAAACTATGTTTTATTGGTTTTCACATGAAATATAAAAAAAGAAGAGCAGAATTGTAAAGGGAAATGATTATTTTCATATTATTTTACAAATCCAAACATGAAAAAGAAATGTGATGTGTATTTGTTTTCAGCTTAAATATAAATCTGGTCTTTTAAAGCACATCTCTGGCTGATTTATGCATCTAGACTTTGACATTGCTGCATCTTCTTTGCAAAATGTTGCATGTAAACATGTAGTCACAGATTCTCAGCTGGATTTCTGGTCTGGATTCTAACAAATCAAAATTCTTTGATTTAAACTTTTTCATTGTAGCTCTTGCTGTATGTGTGTGGGGTCATTTAAATGCTGGGTGCTCTTCTGCAGCCTTTTACAAGTTTATTTCTTAAGATTGTCCTGTTTTATGTAGCCCAGAAACATAAAAATACATCGACATTGATTATTTTAATTTAAAATACTTTGGCCTAAGCTCTGCTTACTGATTTCATAGCAAAGACCAACCAGACACCAATCTGTTTCAGTTTGAGCAGAATAAATGCAATAAAAGGAAGTATGGCTGATGTGTGGTTAATGCTGGTACAGTTATTCTGCTAAAAGGCCTGCATTCGTCACAGATCTGCTGACTATAAATCACATGAATGAAAACATGATAGTTTGATCATAAACACACAAAAGGTTCAGAAGGCGAGCATAGCCATGAGATTTATGGGAATTTATGTTAATTTCACCAAGCGTGTTTTAACAGATAGCTAGTTTTAGATTTTGGTCTTGGAGGTGGTTATAAATAATCTACTCCCTCAGTAAAATGTCATCGCATTTTCCCTCAAGGTTGTTGTTTTAATTAAAGAAAAATGAAAATGGAAACTCATTTTTCTCTAAATGTTCTGTTTAGATATTATTTTTTGTTGTTTTACATTTGATTGGGAAACAAAACAACAACAAAATAATAATGTCCCCAAACATTCCAGCCCGTGACGCCTAACATAGCAACGTAACAGACCTGGGACCCCCTAAAAAGGCATATGTATCTACTTAATGAGTTTTCTAATATTCATTTATAAATAGTGAAGTAATTCTATATATTTTAATTACATTTATTTTCAAAATGTAATTATTTCATCATTTTAATTGTTTATTTATTTGTTGGTACATTTAAATATTTGATTGTGCAAGTTTAAAATTGAATTTACAACCTTATATTTGGATATTATAGTTGAATAAATAGATGTTACATCTACTTATGATGAGGCATTTATTTATCTCATGGGAAATTCACATTTTGTACTTATGATACGATATGATTTACAATCCTCCTTCTCACTTATAAAGCCTTAAATGGCCAAGCTCCATCTTATATCAGAGATCTGATTGTTCCTTATGTTCCTAACAGAGCACTTCGCTCTCAATCTGCAGGTTTATTACTGGTTCTTAGTATTTCTAAAAGTAGAATGGGAGGCATATCTTTTAGTTATCAGGCTCCTCTCCTGTGGAACCAACTACCAGTTTTAGTCCATGAGGCAGACACTCCCTCTACTTTTAAGGCTAGGCTTAAAACTTTCCTTTTTGATAAAGCTTATAGTTAGAGTGGCTCAGGTTATCCTGATCTATCTCTATAGTTATGCTGCTATTGGCTTAGACTGATGGAGGACATAGGGACCCCTTTTTCATCATTCTGCTTCATTCGGTCTCTATTCTCCCACTGCAGAATTTATTCAATCTCTAATTGTATAGTCTCTCTGCTTTTTCTCACCATAGTAGGTTCATCTGGTCTGTTCCTGTTTGGCTGTGACTCCGTCCTGGAGAGAAATATCAGCTGTGCTGCTGCCATCAACACCTTTGTTTATATATGTTGGAGATTGGGCGTGCTTCAGTGGCACACTGGTTAACATGCACAACACATGTATGGAGGCCTTAGTCCTCGACGTGGTTCTAATCTGGCTTTTAGTCCTTTGCTGGATGTCTCTCCCTCTCTCTTGCACCCCTTTTTAGTCAGACTACTGTACCATAAGGGGTCACTAGTGCTGAAGAGAAAAAAAATAATAATAAAAACATGTTGGAGCTCAGCCTGTTTTTCAGTTTAGTCCTATTTCTCTGGCTGTGACTAACTGTATTTGCTCTCATTCATCCTCTGACAGGGGAGCCGGCTCGGAGCTCGTCTGCCTGGCTGTGTGTTTCCTTGACAGCGGCGTCTGTGGAACTTGTCAACAGTTGCCTTTTGTATCTCTGCTTCTTTCTGGATGTCTGCTTCTGTCTCCTTGAATCCCAGTCAGTTCTTTGGGAACCCCTGCACCAAAATTATGGCCATTTGAATTAATTGAAGAGTAGATTTTATTTATTATATTCAAGTACATAATAAAGATTTATTACATACAGACTGACATTTTGAAAGGATATCATATCAGTTAAAACATTTACAGAAATGCAGGCTTAGTGAGAAGAATATTTGTAATTGCAGATTGAAAATAGGTTAGAACCATATCATATAAAGTGGCCACCATTTATTTTGCTATTGAGTGTGATGAAAAAAAAATGTTGTAATTGAAATATGGAGATTGTAGCATACAGGATTGCAGGGTTGCTTGTCACCAAATGAAACGAGGGTTCACTTTTTAGGTGGGAGAAATAATGAACATCATAATAAACAAAAAGGAAAAGATTTGGAAGCGTTTTGTCCCAGTTAGAATTTAGCATTGAGTCTTCACAGTTTGTGAGACTGGTAAAGTGTCTGGACAGACTCTTGCCAAACATTGAATGCTGAAATTTAATCAAACAGTGGTTACACTAGGTAGTAGTTTAAGGGTTTCAACACTTATCTTTTTTTTTTTCAAGTTAAATGCAATTTAAAAAATTTGTTAAATATAGCCGAAAAACACTCTAAAATTATTTTTCCCTGGATTCCAGAGCCTCTGTCCAATACCAGCCTTTGAATAGCCGTTCCTCATGTGTGAAATGGTTAAACTGTCTTTAGGGTATAAAAAAAAACATATCTAGAGGATCAAAACCATGTTTTGCTCACATTCTGTGTGAATATGTGCAACAAAAAGTCAACTTTTTTTTTTTTTGATAAAAAAAGGTTGATTTCTACAAAAAGGCAGCTCATTTTGATTAAAAACTGCAGAGCTCATAGCTTCATACCACCTCTTAACTTTGACCAGCCTCTTCCTCCATAAGAGCCTTGGAGGTGCCACATACTGGAGTGTTTGTGGTAGGCTAATCATTAAGGATAATAAAAAAGGCAGGTTATATCACCCCAGAGCCACTTAAATCACCTTCAAGCTCTCCATTGAGTTCTGGCCCAAACGAGCAGCCGTGGCGAGTAAGAAGGACAGCATGGACCAGCAGGAGCAGGAGCCCAGCAGACCGACATGGAGCCGGCAGATAGAGTTCACCCTGGCAGGAATCGGCTGTGCAGTGGGTCTGGGGAACGTTTGGAGGTTCCCCTATCTCTGCTACAGGAGTGGAGGAGGTGAGAAAACAGACTGCAAAACAGAATCCTAACTCCCTTGATACACATTTACTACATAAAGCAGGGGCAAAGTTTAACCACTCTTTTTTTTTTTTTTTTTGAGTGTTTCTGCCTTGTTTCTATTGATCTTAAAATGAGCTAACTGTGTGCTAGAGTAAGTGTGATAAACTCATCTCAAGCCTTTAATTGTAAAACAATCGTCTTGAAAGAGGGTGATTATTTTACAACAATAAAGATATGATATTTTATAGAGCTTAACCTCGCCTGACTGTTACTTTGAGGCTGACTTTAGCAAAAGTTAAAGATTAAAGCTTTGACTCACCGTTCTGTCTGCCAGGTGCCTTTCTGGTGCCCTATCTGTTCATGCTGGCGGTGTTGGGGATCCCTCTGCTCTACATGGAGCTGACTGTGGGCCAGTATACCAGGAGAGGCCCTGTTCATGCCCTGGCCACTGTTTGCCCACTATTAAAAGGTACTTTGCCCTCCTTTTTCCCCATAGTCGGTAAAAAAAAAGAAGATGTCAGTGATTTTTGTCTCACCTCAGGGGTTGGCATGGCATCTGTGGCCATCTCCTTCATCATGTGCACCTACTACAACGTGGTGATCACCTGGGCCTTGTATTACCTCTTTAGCTCCTTCCAGGCGCCTCTTCCATGGCAGAGCTGCAACAACACCTGGAACACCCCCAACTGCACAGACCAGGCCACCAACAGCAGCTACTCGTCCACAGCCAGCCAAGAGTTCTTCAAGTACGTCCAAGTATAATCTCATTTTACCAGGAATCACTCGTCCCCATAGTAATCAAGCCAATCTTGCTAGTGAGTTTATTGCAGGACTAAAGAACAACCCACCAGCTTCCAGTAGGTTTGCATGAGCTTAAACTGTAGCGAACGTGCCAGGAATGTAGGAGTATTCCGAATAGACGTAGAAGAGAGACTTAAAAAAAAAAACAAGTTATCCAAGTCGTGTGAGAGATATCAGTTATATTGAAGGTCAGTGATAAGGACCTGACAGATATAATATCTCAGGGGAAGTGTGAAAAAAGCTAAGTCATTTTTAACCTTTAGCACCGACAATTAAATCTACAATATTTACATGTTTCAGACTGATCTTTGTATCTCACTCACAACTGAAACAATAGAGCAGATATTTTTTTTTCCTACAAATTCCTTCATAGATCGCTCCGTACAGAAACAAGGCTGCACAGATTATGAGTACATAAACATCAGTGATTTTTAATAACAGCCATGCAGAGCAAACTAGATGGTTATTCCTCATATTTTAATTCTCTGCATAGCCACCATTATTTATCTGTTAAGAGAGCTTAAACAACCCTTCCTGAGTTGAAACGTAAAAAAATATATACCGCTTAATTGTATGATTTTGTTAATATGAATTTAACATTCAAAAGTTCACTGAGCTCCAATTACGGTAGGTGTTTTCTAAAGAAATTTTAGCTGAAAACCTGTTGCACATGGATGGTACACAGACGAGTAAATCCATGTCAGAGCTTTTCCTAATTTCAAGACATGGTAGTTTTTATGCCTCATGCTTCTTCTGTCCTTCATTTCTCCCTGCTGCTCCTTTGAAATCCAAATGACGCATTACCCCTGTTAAGATCCAGATCAGGCACAGAGGAGTAAAAGATTGAAAAAGCAGCAATAAAGAGTAAAGAAAGCCTGGGGAACCGCTGATTAAGAGCAGCACGACACTGAAAGATAAGAAATAAATTAGGTCAGCCTAATGCTTTTCAACAGGACTCTGTGTTCTTACAGTTTGTTAGGATACTTTAAAAGGCACATTTAGTATCTTTTGAATAGCTAATGTAAAAAGCTAGAAAAATAGCATAAAAAAACTGGTTTTAGGCACAACTGTCAGGCAAACTGCTCAGCATGCAAAACAAGAAAACACTGATATTTTCAGCCGACCTCCAGCACTGTGTGGGGAAACAAAGTGATGCAGGTAGAGGTGTGCAAACGCCCTGCAAATACATTAATCAGAGATGGCAAAAGTACTCACTTTCCGTACTTGAGTAAAAGTACAGATACTTGTGTTAAAAAATACTCTGGTAAAAGTGGAAGTACTGATTAAACTTCTTTACTCAAGTAAAAGTAACAAAGTACAGGCTTGTAAATTTACTTAAAGTATAAAAGTAAAAGTAGAAACCACTTTTTTCATGCCGTTGCCTACATTTTAAATGGATGTCTGCCAATAGGACTAGATCTCCATTGTGTTCATTTTCAATCATCTCGTCGTCCATTCTACTATGCTAACGCCACCGCCACCAAGCTGCAATGATTTGCCGCGAATGAATACCGCCGAATCTGTCGATTCATCTTGTAGTGGTGCGTCAAATGCAACGTAGATTCCCATCCAATTAGACTGAATTTGGTATTGATGACGTGAAAAATAATAACGGTAACTCCATTGAAATGATTCAAAACTAAAGTAATGAGCCAATTTTTTAAAATGTAAGGAGTAGAAAGTACAGATATTTGTGTAAAAATGTAAGGAGTAGAAGTAAAAAGTCGCCATAAAAATAAGTAGTAAAGTAAAGTAAAAATATCAGAAAAATCTACTTGAGTACAGTAACGAAGTATTTGTACTTCGTTACTTCCCATCTCTGACATTAATGCATCCAGTCACTCTACCACTAATCTGTTAGGGTCATGGGGGAAAGGCTGGGTACGCCCAGAACCCCATCTCACAAAGCATTTAGTGGCAATACTTTTTGTTTTGTTGAGTTTTTGCGACACAAGTGGTTCATTTTATCGACAGAAGGCTGACAGGAAAGGGGGTATGAGAGAGGAGGAGAGACATGCAGCAAAGGACCACAGGTCGGATTAGAACTACATCAAGGACTAAGGCCTCCGTACCTGTGTCGTGCACGTTAACAACTGTGCCACCGAAGCACCCCCATTTTCCAACATATATAAACAAAGGTGTTGATGGCAGCAGCACAGCTGATATTTCTCTCCAGGACGGAGTCACAGCCAAACAGGAACAGACCAGATGAACCTACTATGATGAGAAAAAGCAGAGAGAGCAGAATGTTAGAGATTGAATAAATTCTGCAGTGGGAGAATAGAGACCGAATGAAGCAGATTGATGAAAAAGGGGTCCCTATGTCCTCCAGCAGTCTAAGCCTATAGCAGCAGAACTATAGAAATAGCTCAGGATAACCTGAGCCACTCTAACTATAAGCTTTATCAAGAAGGAAAGTTTTAAGCCTAACCTTAAAAGTAGACAGGGTTTCTGCCTCACGGACTTAAACTAGTAGTTGGTTCCACAGGAGAGGAGCCTGATAACTAAAAGATTTGCCTCCCATTCTACTTTTAATAACACTTGGAACCAATGGTAAACCTGCAGATTTAGAGCGAAGTGCTCTGTTAGGAACATAAGGAACAATCGGATCTCTGATATAAGATGGAGCTTGGCCATTTAAGGCTTTATAAGTGAGAAGGAGGATTTTAAATCATATAGTATCAAATGTTAAAAAAAAAGAAGAAGAAAGAAATGACCTTGTGAAACAATCAGGGTTGGAGGAATCCTGTGTATTTCCTACTTTTTAAGCTGAGATCTGCAGAAGAAAGTGTTGGAAATGATGTCTCCTTTTCTGGAAGAACCTGTTTAAGTTGACTTGGAAAGTTGTTTTTTTAATGCGGCTAAAGAGCTAATGGGCAGACATCCTTTCTTTAGTCATTTTTATCCATTTTGTACTGTTGAGAATACAACAGGCCCACAGGATGATGCAGCCATTAAGACAATCATGCCTAACATCCTTAAGAGATAACTTATTGAACTGAAGTCTTTGTCTCCTCTGACCATAAATCTGTTCTTTTATCTCTACTTGTCCATTTTTAGACCTTTAGATTTAATTTCAGCCTGGATCATCAAGGTTTATGTGGGGGTCTTGAGGACCAAAATGCAGAAATGAGGAGGCAGAGATGAGTTTTTCTGATTTTATTAGATTCCACAGGAAACTGAGGCAAAAATCCAGGAACGAAAATAAGAAACCAAAAATCAGGAGACGTCAGGGAGAAACAACACATGGGAAGGGAGCCAGATACGAAGCAACAAATGAACAAGAAACCAGCAGAGAGGAACAGCAGAGGTGGTGTATATATGGGGAACAGAACATAGGATTGGCTAATAAGCTGATATAGAGCAGGTGTGAGAAGAACTAACTAGAAGGGAGCCAAAGGGAAAAGAAACAGGCACAAGGGGGCAACAGAGAGTAACTCAAGAACACAACACTGTTAGAAAACAACTACAAAGATACAAAATTACAAATAAATGAATAATAAATCTAAACAAAGGGCAGAACTCTAGATATTTGGATTATTTAGACGAATGCTTACAGAATCCACTTTTTTATTAAATTTACAGTGAACTAAAACACATTTAAAGGGTTTGGATATTATTTTACATTAAGGATTTTATAAGCTTGACAGGATGACCTTTTTTAATAGAAAAGTATTGCTGTTTCCCTGCTTCTAAAGTTATAGGATGCTCGACCAGACTAGTGGAGTAGAGGAAGCAGGAACGCTGCGCTGGGAGCTTTTCCTTATCCTCATCCTGGCTTGGATCCTCATCTATCTTTGCATCTTTAAAGGGGTGAAGTCAACAGGCAAGGTGGGTTAAAGTATTGATGACCACAGCTGGAGACAAGAAATTATCCTGCTGTTTAGGATTGCCTTCGACTGTTTTTAATGTTCTTTTTTGTTTCTGCATTTTTATTTTTTATTTTTTCGTTTATTTTTTCCTACTTGCTTTGATTTTGTTTTATTTTCCTATATTTTAATCATGTAAAGCACTTTGCATTGTCTTTATACTGAATTGTGTTTTACAAATAAATTTGCCTTGCCTTGCCTTGTTAGTTTTTTTATTAAACCCTTTTCTTCTGTGTGCAGGTGGTGTACTTCACCGCTCTGTTCCCCTATGTCATCCTCATTGCCCTGCTGATCAATAACGTGCAGCTTCCAGGTGCATCGGATGGGATAGCTTTCTTCATCGTGCCTGAGTGGGAAAAACTGCGCTCTGTAGAGGTGAGAGTGGGAATGGTATGAAGCCCAGCTGGTGCTCCATTGTCGTTGTGAGACATGTTTCGGCTTGTTTTAAAGGTGTGGGTGAACGCTGCGGCTCAAATCTTCAACTCCATTGGGATTGGCTTTGGCTCCCTGCTGGCCATGTCCAGCTACAACTCCTTCAACAACAACGTGCTGAAGTAAGACCAATGTTGCATATTGATAAGTAACGGTAGAGTTAGAAGAAAAGCTGAGGAACGTGCTCTCTGCTCCACAGGGACACACTGTTCATATCCATCACCAACTCCCTGACCAGCATCCTGGCAGGATTCGTCATTTTCTCTGCCTTCGGGTATATGTCTTATCTGCAGGGTATTCCTGTCAGCCAGCTGGCAGTGGATGGTAATAAAACATTACCTTTGTATTATATTTCTTTAATCACATTTATTACATGAATGAAATGGTTATTTGTTCCATGTTTCATGTTTCGGGTAATCATTGATCTTCTTGGGTCTTCCCAGGTCCAGGATTAGTTTACGTGGTTTACCCACAAGCCTTTGCCAACATGCCGGTGTCTCAGCTCTGGGCGGTTCTGTTTTTCTTCATGCTGCTGTGCCTGGGCCTGGACAGTGAGGTAGTGAAACTAGCTGCTCTGGGGAAGTATTCACATTTTGTCACAAAACATCCACCAAGGGGAAGAAAAACCTGATATTGTTTTTTGAATTTTGCATTCCTTAGAAGTGTGAAGAGTGAGGGGATATTCAGCCCAACCATCTTTCAGTGCCACTATAGCAGCGGTGGAAGGTTCTGGAATACGTTTCCACCTGCATTGCTCATGCTGAGGCTCATATTTCTGCTCTTTCTTGGAAAATAGCTCAAACCGAATCAAACGCCACAATAACATTTATATAAAAATACAATTTGGAAATTGCTCAAAATTCCCGTTTGAATTAAGGTGAAGACTTTGACTAGGCCATTTTAACACGATGTGAATCATTCTATTATAGCTATATAGGGCTGTATTTTGGGGGTTCATTCTCAATATTTCACATTACTTTTAGGTCATAAAAAGTGTAATTTAACAAGAATTTCTGTAGAGAATCAGATTAAGATCCAGAAATGACAGATTATTTGCTCTATCCTATAAATCTGTAATTAGGAATTGTGACTACAAGTTAAAGCTATAATTGCACAGTAAATTAGGCTGATGATCCGTTGAATTATGTGATTTGTTGGAAGGATCCATTCCCTGCAAAAACTATCCATTTAACCAAGTCTTACAATCTTAGATCGAGCCAAAAATGTTTTTCTGATCTTGTTTTGAGATTGATATACAAATCAAGAGCAAATTTAGTTGGATCATAGATTAGAATAGAATAGAATAGAATAGAATAGAATAGAATAGAATAGAATAGAAAACCTCTGTGGTTTTACAGCAGCATTACAGCAAAAGAGGTTACACAAATGTAGACCTTAAAAGAGTACAAAAATAACAAAATAAGTGGCAGAGTTAAAAAGAAATAAACAAATTAAAATAGCGTACAGTGTTTTTATAAATATTAATACTGTGCAGTCATCTGAAGAGTAAATTATGAATATACAGCTGCTGACATTTTTTACAGTAGTAGATAGCAGCAACACCAGAGATGTGCAAAATGAAAGCAGCATGTTAGTTAAGTGAATAAGACAGAAACTGTGCAAAAATCAGCATGAATATAACAACCTATTGAGGTTGTTGCGAACATTGATGATTATGAGTGATTCCACTTCAAAATAAATGCAATAATCTGCCAGTGCAGTAAGACAATTACAACTGGTAGAACGTCTTATTTTGAGAATATGTATCATAATTCCTTTCATTATTAAATCAATGGGGAAGTATAGGAAGCTATTATATCATTGTGTACTAGGATTTTAAATCATGACACATTTGGCTGGAAGGGGAAATCCATCTCAGTCTCTGTCTTTAACAGCCCCTAACAGATTCCATTCAGTATTCCCATCACCAGCTTTCCCATATCTGCTAAAGGCAGGGATTCCCACAGCATGATGCTGCCTCCACCGTTCAAGGAATGAATAAACAGATAATTGGATGTACAGTAATGGACGAGGTTAACCTTCTGTCCCACATAGTCTTTTCCTAAATGCCTAAATTTTATATTTGGTCTCATTTGATCAGAACACATTATTCTCCATAGTTGCTGCTGTGTTTAAGCTGTGCATCTCTGCAGCTCCTGCAGAGTAATAGACAGCCTCTTGGCTGCTGCTCTGATCAAAGATGACATTACCAGGCCTGTTATTTTAGGTGGACAGCCGTGTTTTAGTAGGTTTGCGGCAGAGCTAGTCTTTATTCCTTTTCACACCAAGGATTAAGCAGAGCTCTGCGAGATGTGAAACTAAGAACTTTAGGTAATGTTTTTATCACCTAATGCTGCTTTAAAACTTCTCCATATCATTTTCTGACCTATCTGCTGTGTTCTTTGGTCTTTATTATGTTAAATGTTCTCTAAAAACACTTCTAAGGCCTTTAATAACTCATTTAAAAAGGACTTAGGTTGCAGGTTATTTTACTTCGATGATCCCTTTTCACTAAAACTGTTTTTGTTTTGTCAGATAAAATCAGCAAAAAAGATATTTTGTATTTTTGGTTGTAATGTGACAAATATGCTGATGAAGGTTCTCAGTCATCCAGGTTATAGTCATTCCGTAAAAATTAAAAAAAAATTCAAATCTTGGAAACCAAGTCCAGTGGAAATTTTTTAATTTTTACGGAATAATGTGACAAAATGCAGAGGAATTTAATTGTTTCTCCCAATGGAAATACAAAACAGGTATAAACGTTCTGATTAATCCCTTTTTTTTGCGGCAGTTTGCGATGGTAGAGGTGATGGTGACCAGTTTCATGGATGAATTCTACCACCAAGTGCTGAGGATTTTCAAGAGGAAGGAGTTTTTCGTTCTTGTACTCTGCGGTGTGGCCCTTCTGTTAGGGATCCCATGTGTCATGCAGGTGAATCTCACAGCTTAGCAGTTTTTAACCAAACGACCAGAGCGGAGATCCTCAACTGTTTTTCTTATTCCAGGTAGGAATCTATGTCTTCCAGCTGATGGACCATTACACTGCCATTGTGTCCATCATGTTCCTTGCTTTTTTTGAGATTATAGCCATCTGCTGGAGCTACGGTGAGCTTAAGTTGCTTTTCAGCTTATTTTTTTATTTGGTTTTAACATTGTAGACGTTTTACTATATTTTCTTTGCTCAGGTGTAAAGAGACTCTCAAGCAACCTGGAAGAGATGACAGGAGGACGACCAAACATCTTCTTCAGGTTGTGCTGGCTCATAGTTGATCCCGTGCTCATCACAGTAGGTTTACAGTAAAAACAGAAAAAAAAAGAAATTCTCTGAATTTTATGGTTCCTTTACTTTCTTTACTAACCCTGGTCTCTTTGCTCCAGGTCATCCTGATCTTCTCCATCATCCAGTTCAAGCCGGCTCGCTATGGGAACTACGTCTTCCCTCCCTGGGCTCAGGGTGTGGGCTGGATCATCGCCCTGGCCTCCATCATCTGGATACCTTTAGGGGCCATTCACACTTTGTGGGTGCTACCTGGCTCGCTAACAGAGGTAACTGACATAACTTCAGACTTAAAAACAGAAATGCTTGTTTCTAATTTGAGTACATTTAAAGCTACAGTGTGTAATAATTACAGGGATATAAAGTCAGAAATTTAATATATTATACATAACTATGTTATTTATCATCACCTATGAGCTCAGCCTTTTAACCATAATATTTGCGTTGCCTTAGAATTCGTTATTTATAATTACATAGGAGCGGGTCTCGCAGCCATGGAGGCAGACATCTTTGCGCTACGGCAAGCGCAGAGGCAACAAACTAGCGATTGCGAGATTTCCCATTACGCTCGAAAATAACTACGGCAAGTTGAGAGAGATGAACTGAGACGGTACTGAACAGTAGATGGCAGTATTATGCCTGAGAAGCGTTTAGTCTGCCTGAAACCAAAGAAGAAGAAGAAGCAGGTATACTGCGCCTCAGTAACAAGAAAGGTGAACAAGGTGGCAGGCCTGAGTGACTTTGCAAACTGTTTGGCACTGTGTGGCCAAACATCAGACGAATGGAGGATCATGCCTACTCTGTATCACAACGAAAAGCGGTGGAAACCGAACCCCCGTCATCTAAGAAGCGGAAACACGACGAGAATAAACGCAAGAGTGACAAGAAACGGCAAAAAACACGGATCAACATTGGCACGGCATTTACACGATGGAAGTCACTGATGGAGGAAAAAGGTTTTCAAAGTGACGCTCAAGTTGCCAGTTTTCTCTTGGACAGGTAATTAATCCTACACACAATTGTCTAATATCGCTGCAGTTTTTGGAGTACAGGATGCTCAGACCTGTCTAAAACAATAACATGCTGCGTGATGATGCTGTTACTCTCCAGTATACTTATTCAGCAACGTCCCTGACGTTTCACAGGTAATGATTCAGTAATTTTCTGTAAAATAATTTTCTGGATATATACCTCGGTTACTTCTCTCCGGCTCCTTTGGAGATCTTCAAGCCTTTCTTCCTCTGCTCTCACCCCGCTGGCTCCCCTCCCTGCCTGGCCCTGGCTGCACGCCCACCCCGGCCTCTCTGCCCTCTCCCTCTTCCTCGCCCTCTTCCTCTCCCTCTTCCTCGCCCTCTTTCTCTCCCTCTTCCTCGCCTTGTAACCCCCGTGCCACAAACAAGACTTGGACTCTGTAAACGGGGAATATATATTCTTCCAGCGAACACAATCTCGCTGTTAAACTAATGACTACAATTACTTCGTCTGTTTATATCACCATGCAAAGCAGCTCACCAAAACGTCACAACGATGTAGAAAAAATAACGGGTATATTTATTATCTAAAGTCTACATGAAATCTATACCCTACACAGACTAATGAAATACTATCTGTAAAATTATCTATGTAAACAAACCTCATCACTTGAGAAGGTAGGTGATGTGGACGTCGTGGAAGACATTTTGTCCCTTAACGCTCGCCGTACTGTTGGGGGGGAGAAGCGGTGGGGGGAGACGTTCATGTTGCTGCAGTCTGCAGTCTGGACGTTAGATGTCGCTGAAAATTACACACTGTAGCTTTAAATAAGAATGTTTTTTTTTTTTTTACAGTATCATCAGTAAGTACTGATCTTTGTAAAACGTCCCTTAGCACATAGGGCATCAATGTTTGGGCTCCAGGCCTATAGAGAGAAGGTTCATGTTTAGATTTCTTTTCTTCTCTTCACCTTTTCTGCAGAATTTAGTTCTGGGGACTTAGATGGTCGTAGAAAACCACTGAGATGTATGTGGGGCAAAATATCTTTGCTTATTTGGCTCAATGTGTGGATCAAATTCTGCTTAAAGATGATCCACCTTAAATTTAGGTGAAGTTCTTTCTAAATCGTTTGGTATTTTAAAAAGCTAACGATGGTAAAAACCAGGGATGCATAACACAGCCGTCAAAAAAGTAAAACCTGGTGGATATTTACATCCATTGTTTATTTCCATCTAGTTCCTGTTTTTGTTCCTGGAAGGAGGGGAGTCATGAGACAGAAATGCAGAACATGATCGTGGGTTTTTAACTGAATTATAAAAGCAATGTTAGCTCTCAGGTCTGTTTTTCAGTGTTCAAATACTAGATAGAAAAACATTGTTTAATATCAACCATTAAGGTTATATGAATATTATAAAATACAGATCTGTTTAAAGAGACAGCCCAGAGCATGACACATCCACTACATTTAAGAGTCAACATAAATGGCTTTTCCTGTGTATTTATTATTTGGTTCAGAACAGACCCACCCAGTCTTTGTGGATAAAGCACTTGATCTTTATTGCGTCCTCCAACTCAACATGTTTAACTTTGTGGTTTGGGAACAGAAAAGGTGTTTTTTTTTTTTGTTATCTCCCCCTAAGCAACTGGTTGGTATTTATAACACATCTAATGGTTGTTTTGGAGACTTTTTTAATAAGAGCTTCCCAAACTTTTCTACCTGTGATCCCAAAAATAACAAAACAAAAGACTTGGGACCACCTTAGAATACTCATTCACTTAATTAATTATATCAATTTCTAAATACACATTTCATTATTTAAATTATCATTTAAATTTTTTGCAATTGTATTTATTGAGACATTTAATCATAGAATCGCGCATTTTACAATTAAACGGTATATTAATTTGAATGTTTTAGATAAATAAATGTTACATCTACTTAAATTATGGTACTATTCTTTTATTTCATAGGACATTTATATTTATGTATTTAATTATATATTTTGACCCTTTATATATATCTCAGGTATCACATCCCAATGATTGTGAAAAAAAATCTCGTGACCCCACCTTTACAATCCAAAGAGCCATATTTGACCTCAGTCCAGCTAATAAAAAAGCAACAAACATTACCTTTAAAAAAAAAGAAAAAAAAAAAAAGAAAAATATAGCGTATTTATGTGGGGGAGTGTTGGCCTTGTGGTTAGAGCAGTGCCCTTGTGCTTTGAGAAGGTTGCAAGTACCCGGTTTGATCCCCACAGCCTGCACTCTGGGTCCCTTAGCAAAGACATTTAACCTTTAATCAATAAAGTTCAATGATAATTTACATTTAATATACATCCACCAAGGGAATATTTGTCCTTGTTAAAGAGTTAACTTGCCATTTAAAGTTTTAGGTTTTAAAATGAAGAAAAATATCTGGCAATAAGTGAAAGAATACATCTCCAAAGGGTTTCTGAAATATGTGGAAAATCATGTAAAGAAAAAAAAAACTGTTATATTTAGAGTCATTTCATTTTGGAAATTCAATGCTACTGTTCACTAAAGAAAATGCTAACCAGCATTTCTTAATATACATCCATTTTTGAGATCTGCTGGTTCTTCATCATTTTTAGCCAAAGTGATGAAGAGTAATTGTTAAGTGTCTAAAGAGACACAGGTTGCAGACCTCTACCATATGTGGTTTTGATCCCTCAGGGGTCCCGACCCCTACTTTGGGAACCCTTGGTCTAAATAAACTTAATAGTTAATTTGTAATAAAAATTTTCAGTGTTAGATTTTTCCACTGCAAGGAAATATTAGTTTATTTTAAAGGGGTTTATATAAGTCGTTACCAGCAAAGTGTTTTTTTCATAACCTAAAATTTATTTTATGGCTGCTTATCCTTTCCAGAAACTGAAGCTGTCGATCACACCGTATGCTCTGAATAAGACTAAAGGTCTGTATAATGAGAGGGGAGGAGGAAACAGAGAACCGTCCATCTCCATCATCAGCTCCAGCACTGACCCCCAGAAATCTCCCCTGGAGACAAACTTCTGACCAGCTTGGTGTTTTGCTCAAAATGCTCCTCCACCTCCTGGCATGAGATAAACTCCAGCTAATCATTAATCCATGTCTTCTCTGTAAATAAAACGGAAGCATTTTACAACCATTAGAACCATGATCGGATGAATTTGTTTATTCTTATTCAGCTTCTGCTGCATGAAAGCTACCAGTTATTTTAACCTAATAATTAAATATTTTTCTTTTAATTTAGTTTATTTTCCTTTCATGCTATTTACCATACCTGCACCACTGCAAACCTATAAGCGGGAGAAGATGGATGGATGGTGTGTTTACCATCACACACCCATAGAACTGGCCTTATTTATTGACTTTACTTTGCACGTGTGCACCATCTTCTGGTCAAATCTGCTCAACACAGTAAAGCAGCAGTTTATTTTAGCACTGTTGAACATTTACAAGCCAGGGTAGAACTGTCATGATCTTGTTGCTGCTGACTCATCTATTAGGTCAAATACAACGGGGAACTGCAGATTAAACCTACTGGTCATGCGACTCTCATGTAAGACATAATGAAAAATAAATTTGAAAAAACTTGTGACCAAAGTCCAGTTTGTTTATTTTTCTTTCAATTATACACTTAAAAAAACAGACATTACACAAAGCATGGACAACATGTGGGAAACAGTATTTATTTTAGTGTATTCCGTACATGAGAAAATTCCAACAGGATGCATGTGCACAGTTGGGTTCCTTCTCTGCACACCAAAGTGCAGAACATGAGCAAATAGATGGACCGTTAAAAAAACAAAACCCAGAGTGTGCAAGAAAACAAAGGTATGTCTTCCTAAATGTACCCTGAACACCTGTAAGGAGTGGTCGGATCCAAACGAGGGTAACTGAATGTGTTTGTGAGATGAGTTAAACATGGAGTGGGACGGACAGACCGTCTCTGGTTACTCACAGAAAGCATGACATTAGCACTGTCTAAGATTACTTTGTGTAAGACCACAGTTAGATTTGTAATTAAAAGTCAGATTCTTTATTTTTTAAAAAGGAAAACATTTTTCCTATAAACAGCAATTGTTATTGTTTTAATTAAAATTCCAAAAGATATACCATGTAACCTAGATAAACAAAACAAAGAAACAAAACAAAATGTGCAATCAATGACGTTTTCCCTCTGAGGTGGCAGCCGTGCAGATGGCCACACAGCGCAGCAGCAACTCTGTCCCGATTTGTTCCTACTTCGGTTTTAAAGTCGGTTCAGCTCAGGACCGAGACCAGCAGCTGTTCAGTAGTATTTTATTTTTTTTTGTAGTGGTTTACAGAGTCCATGCATGTTTTTTCCCTGCACAGCCTCTTTAAGGCTCCAGCTCTTCATGGTTAAGCTCCTGTAGACTCAGACACACACCCACGCCCTCTCTCCTAACCCACATGGCCAGCAGAGGTCGCTAAGGAGCTGTGGTGGCTGCCGTCCATCATCACTGCTATGATATCTGCTCCACTGGTCTCATCTGCACATCTCCAATCTATTGGAAGAAAGGGAAAACATGAGCAAGGTGAATGGAGAACTAGCGGGACAAAAGTAAAGGGAAAATAAAGAACAGCTAACAGAGAAACGTACCTGAACATGAGGAGGGGCACTGAGGACATACGTGACTGCACTGGCTACATCCTCTGCTTTCAAGCACTAAAAAAAAAAAGCGTTGTCGTTTAGACCGTTCACATTACTTATTGGTGTGAAAAAAATGCACAAATGATCACCTTTATACTCTCGTAGACAGCAGCTGCTTTCTCTGGATCACTGTTGTGATGTCGGAAGGCAAACTCCGTCTCAACTATACCAGGAGATATACACTGCAGGGACAGATGAACTGTTATTCCTCATGTTCACTCCTCCTTTCCTGATCTACTTTCCTTGCCAAGGCTGCATACGCCCTCGGTATTACGTCGACAGGGAGAGTTACGTGATCTTAACTCCAACAGTGGCAGCTCACTCACCGTGGCTCTTATGTGAGTCTTTTCTTCCCGAAGCTCCTGCCGTATCCCCTCAGTTAAAGCGGTCACGGCAAATTTAGTGGCACAGTAGAAATGCTCGTCAGCGCTGGGCACAAGTCGGTGCCCGCCCATGCTGGAGGGGGTAGAGAGAGGGGAAAACAGGAGAACCAAGAGAGAGAATAATTATATTTCACACCTTCACCTAAGTTCAAGAACAAATTACCGTAAAAATAGTTCATATGTTTTAAAACCTTTAATGTATTAACTGCTTCACTTACAAACTTAAACATCCTAATAAAGCTAAAGTAAGACACTAAAAATGGTAAAAACTGCAGTTGCAGAGGGGTGGTAATAAAAAAAATGTATGAATGCTAGGATAAAATAAGGCTAGCAAACAGAATAATAAGACTAAAGTAAAATACTAATGCCAAGGACAAAAGTGTGATAATCACTGAAAATAGAGTGAAGAAAAATAGCAGATGCACTGCAGACATAAAATATGCCACAAACATATATATAATGCAAAAATGCAAACCAAAGGCAAAGAAAAATGGATGCAAAATTGCTGCAAGTAGGAAAATGAACTGCAAAATAAAATAAGCTGAAAACTAGTTCTACATAACAGAAGTGCTCCAGTCCACCAGGGGGAGACAATCACCGACTACATGGGACCAAACTAAAGACAATACTGCTAATTAACGTCTATTGACCCTTTGTGTAGAAATAAACAAGATTTTTCTCCAGGAGGCAGTCAAAGGGAAGAAAGATGTTTTCCTGAGCTTCCCAGCTACATCTCTATTAAGGGTTCAGTCCCATGTGAGTGGACGGTTGACTCCCCCTAGTGGTCCGGAGCACATGTCATGCAAAACTAGTTTGGAGATTTTTTTAAATCCTAGTTATTTTGTGACTTAAAGGATTTTTCTTTGCATGTGTTTCATGTATTTCTCTATTTTTTGGGGTTTGCAGGACTTTTTTGTTCGGTAAACCTCTGAACCATCATATCAAACATTCTTATCAAGCGCTGTTGTAGAAACCTATTTCCTACTCGCTCATTTTCTTTTCAGTTTTTCATTTTTCATTCATTTTTACACCTGCATTTCTGAAAAAAAATTAACATCGAGGCAATAAAACCTTAGAAAATACAAGAAACAGTTTTCGAATGATGATTTGACCAAGTAGACAACCTGATGTGGAAACGTAGCTCCCGTCCTGGTTGAAACATAATCTATGCATCATTAAAGACTCCAGAGTTAGATTTGAACTAGTTATTAGGTTTATAAAGCATTCGATTTTTTTTTTCTAAATGAACAAGTTGGTTTTGAACTGCTGTTCCATTAACAAATGAAATTATTTCAAATTTGCTCAGGTTGTTTCAGCCTGATATCAACAATTTAAAGTCACGACAAATCTGTAAGAAATACGTTTGCACAGGACTGTAAGCAAAACACATTTAAACTTTATTTTTGGATTAAAACAACTTTAAACTGCTGTTTAGTTCTCGGACTGGTTTAAAGGATTTTTGAACAAACATACCTGTTAATATTGATGATGTGGCCGTCATCCACATTCCTCTCTTTCATTGATTTGTAGGCCTCGCGGGTGCAGATGGATAAGGCCAAGACATTCACCTGCAGTCAAAGCAACACATTCATCAGCTACTGTCTTCTAGTATTTCATTGTGAAATGATGACAAACATTTGTGCAAAATTAGAAAGACCTGTGCACTTCTATCAAGTCCTCCTTTGTAAATAAGGTAGATATGGTTCTCTTTACAGGTACCGACCAAATTCAGTCGGTCCTACGAATTACCCATTTAGGTCAAATCAGATAGTACCCGTTTTGGTATCTGAAGCATCATTGTTGAAAAGAGGGAGTTGAAACCATTTTTCCAGGCTGAAATTAACACATTGCATGAACAAGCGATTGATGACATCAGTAGCTGCTTCTGCTGCAAACAGAGCTAACAGAATTAAGCGCAACAAGGGTGCACAATATTTAACAACCCCCGATCTAATGCTACAGTTCCTGCATTTGGCACCTTTAGCAGCCAGCAACATAGAAGATGCATTTTCATATGTTTGAAGTGATGTTGGGATGGGACCAAACACCTCCTTACAATAAATATTTAAAAAAATACGTTGTTTTGTGAAATGTTAACGGTACTCATCGCTATTTGCTGAGAAATTTTTTTTGTTACTGCGTTTACAGCAGCATCTCCTAAAACTTTGCACGTTTTAACTGATTCTTCAAAACATCTCCAGCTAAGACAGACTGCCAATGCTAAGATTCAACTGGAAGTAGGTCGTCTCTACAAACTGAACGACAGCCAGCTGATATTAACAGTTTTTTTTTAAATTGGCACCAACTGATTCATTGGCCCATTCAGCAGCCAGGCCTTAAGATCACATGGAGCGCTTGGGTTACGGCTCCTACCATTTTTTGTTCGATTCATTAATAAATGTATTTTTTTTTTCCCCCAAATTGAGACTTGTGTTGAAATAATGGACATCGGCCTTAAAAAGCAAACAAAAAGTATCAGATTATCTGCAGTGCTGACTGTGACCGAGATAATCTAACATATTAAAATGCTTTATTCCAAACTAGGGCTGAGACAATTAATCGGGATTAATCAATTACTGAAATAATCGTCAGATATTTTAGTAATCAATTAATCATTACCTGGAATGTACAGACTTTAAAACATTACTTTAGCTGACATAGCAACCCACCGTGAGCACCAATTATACCAAATAAAAAAAATATAGATATGTAAACATTTTGCATTTAAGATTAAAAAAAACTTTTTTGTCTGTCAATATCCAGATCTTCAACAGAAGATCAAAAGTTTTAGTTTCACTTGGTTTAACATAAAAAAATCTTAATGTAACCTTTTGCTATCCGATTATTAATAAAAATAAAAAAATTGACCGATTATCCATTTGCTTAATAATCGTTAGTTGCAGCATCTAAACTTCTATCATAACCCTGGTTGTGCGTTTAAAGTTATTTTCCAGCTGGAAGTTAAACCTCATATCTTTTAAGATAATTGTGTATTTAGCTCTACGGAAAAGCCTCCCCACAGCATGATGCTGCCACTGCCATTCTTCTCTAAGGGAGGGTGCTTTTCTTTACCCACATGGCTTTTTGCATCTAGACTAAAAAATTATATTTTTGGCCTTGTTTGAAAAGGACAGACTGTTCCACAGGTTTGCATTGTTCCTTGTGGGAAACATCCACTTTAACATCACATGAGTATCGTTCAGGATCGGCCATTTCCTTCAGACAAACAGGTAAAGAGAAAACCGTTTCACTTTCACCTTCCAGGTATGTTACCTGAAGTTAGCCTTTTAGATAAGATGCATTGAAGACATAGCTGGGATATTTTTGAAAGGCACAGTAATGTATGCAGGTGATTCATGTTCACTCAGCCATGGCGATAAACTCTGTGAACCGGCTGTACCTGTCCAGCCTCTGTCTATTAAGCTTTTCGCACACGGTGACATTGACAGACATCAGTGTGCCGCCACCGTAATGGTAACACAAGGTCAGCGTACAGATTAAACACAGGCTAAAAATACACCACTATGGACTTTTGTGGAGGCTGCCATGACAACAGATGAGAGAGCGTCACAAATGCTGGACCATGGAGACAAAGAATCAGAGCCGGGAAGGTGGGGGGATCTTTGGTGGTCAAGTGCTCAGTGAATCAAAATGAAGAGTCCTGGCCAGAAGAAATACTGCTGGCTTTCATTAGTTTGCTGTGGCAGAGCCACTGAAGCGGCCTGTGTGTGTCGGCTTCCACAGAACCAGATTTCTCTAACATCGAAAAGTCTACACACTAGGGATGTAAGCAAATAATCATCTTAGGATCCCATGTCAATTAATGGTTTTAGATTAAAAATTGCTCCATTGGATTAATTAATACCATCCACTTAAGGCGTTTCTTTCGTCAACATGAGGGCGCCACTCTTCATTCCTAAGGGGAGCCTCACTGGTATAAGCAAGAGAAGTAATGCCACATAGGTCGGTAGTTGGCAGTAGTCATTACCTGATCTGTACCATTTGTTCTTCTGCAACCAGAAATTCATCCAGGTCACCATAAATAATGTAATTCCGTCACTGAAATGACCTATTTATATCTTTAAATGACCAAAGAATGCTAAGATAGACATGATTAATGACTGAGAATTGGATGCATTTTACATTCCCTCCATTATATAGACTTAGACTTCTTTTATTGTCATTGCACAAAAAAACACAAGGTGAATCTTGACAACGAAATGTCGATTTCTTGGCTACCAGTGTAACAGAGCTAAGACCTTATTCCTGCACAATAAATATATTTTCTATAACTAAGAGGTAAGAGCTAGCTATATACAGGGTAAAAGAAGTATATATATATACATATATATTGCACTGAGTTATTGCAAGAAGTTACATTAATAAATATTGCACTTCCGGTTAGGCAAAAACAGCATTCATCTGGTAACACAGAATTGCTGCTCGGTAGGAATGCTGCAAGACCAGACATCAATTTGCAAAACTTTTCTGGAGTGAGGATAATTAGCGCAGCCTGGAAAGCAGCTGTAAAACTGATAGGGCAGCATACAGCTGAGCTGCACTTACTGAACACTGCCTGATGTGATCTGAGGATTTTTTTGGCAAACCATACTAAGAAAGAAGTGTCAAGGATCAACGAGCTTGTATCTTACTGCACACACGAAAAGATACTATATATGTTCGAGGAAAACATGCAATCTTTGAAATAATCTGGGGCCACTTCATAGACATTCTGCCCTCTCTGGACCCAGCTGTCTATGTTGGAGTGAGCCTTTCTGGACCGGCTTCAAATTAGCGCTTTGCAGGTTCTTCTTATATAACTTCCTTAATTATGTACCTTAATATGAGTAGTGTGTTGAATTATAAGAATATGAATGTGAATGTCAGATGGATGGGTTGTGTACAGAAATGAGAGGATATTGAGAACCATTCAAGAAAGGAGGGTGGGGAGTGGGAGGGGAAAAGTTTGTTATTTTTTGTTTTGTTGTTTTCTTTTGGTGTTAAAAATCAAAAATCATCTTCCTTGTATGTTGTGTCTGTAAGACTATGTAGCAATAAGATTTATTTTTTTTTTTTTTATAAAATACAACTTTCAGTATAACTGTAAACTCTTGCGATACATCATAAATATCCTGTAAAAGCTTCTGTTAATAAAACAAATCTTAAAAAAAATAAAAGAAAGAGTCAGAATTTGCTAAAGAAGGGTCTTATCTGTTATAGATGGAAGGGAGATGAGATTTCTACACGTTTTAGTGGCTCCAGTATAAACAAAATATAAAAAAGAAAATGCTGTCACCAGATGAATGAGGCTCACCACTTAATAGACCCTCCTCACTTATTGTAAGCAATGAAAAACCAAAAACAAGTAAGATTATGTTTATTTTAATATATAATAGAATCTCCACCAGAGACCACTTAATGGTTTCTTTGAATTATCTCCTAAAAAACATAATTCAGAAATGTTAATCTATTGCAAAAAAGAATAATTAAAATGCGTCACTACAGATTCTAAGGTTGAAATATTCAATCAGGTAGGTTCTTCAATTCCTTAACTCATCTGATGTGTCTGATTTTGTTCAGCACCGTCTGTGCTGTCAGTTTATGCACCAAGGTTCCCTTGTTACGTCAAGAGTGGAAGCAAATCGCAAAAATAGTCTAAAAGTGTTTTTTTTTAGCCATGTTTCTAATTTTTTGAAGAGTCAAACAGTCTTACTTTTATTAACATATATGTGAATTTGTAATGAGAACAGGATTTCAAAAACACTTTAGATTATCACATAAATTGAACTGTACTGTGTTCCAAAGAGGATGAGATGATAGAAAAGTGAAGGGCCTCACTGAACATTTGTAACATGATGGTTACACTACATTTCAGAGATTTTATTAACATTGTTTTTTTCAGTAACGTAATAGGTTATATCTTATAAATGTTGTCTTATAAATGTCTTATAAGTGTTTCATGTGTAAGAAAACATTTTTTTGTTATTTGAGTCAATTTAATAAAGCTGGCACAAAAAAAGTCTTAAAATATACGTATATATGATGTCTGTTTTTGTTAAATTCAGCAGGTTGTGAAGTCATATTTTGCCGTTTATGACATGAAATATCCTCTTGATCCGAGGAAAATCTCAGGTATTTTAAGAAGATGGCCGCTTATCAGTGAATTGTCAGCCGCTCGATAAGATCAATCAACTTCATTAATTTATAACTTGCATCTCTGCTACAATAGCAGCCCTTTCATTCACTACAGCCGAGCATTTCCAACCCTCCCTCTGCCTACTGGTTCTATAATGTGCTTCCACGTTCACTTACATCTATCATGTTTCTCCAGCCCTCTGTCTTTCCGGACAGCAAGGGTTCATTGTGAGCCAGCCCGGCGTTGTTGATGCACACGTCCACCCCTTTGTGAAGCGTTTTGATGGCTGAGAACATGGACAGGATCTCCTCTTCGTTGGCCAGGTCACATTTGTAGGGGATCAGCGTGCCGCTGTAGCCGGCACTCTGACATTCGGCCGCCAGTTTCTGAAACACACAAAGTTGGAGTCCGGTGAGCTTGTGATTCAGGAGGTGAAACTAAAATCAAGGTCAGAGCTGGAAAACATTAACTTACACCAGCATAATAAAAACGCCCCACCCTCTCAGGCACAGAGAAAACAGAGATCAGATAAAATGGACCCGACATCGCCTGAGTGCCACACCACAAAGCTTTTTACTGCTTCTGATAAAACCATTTATGACCCACAGTCATACTAACAGGTATGCCCGTCAGGTCCTCACAGACCGAGTTAAACTCCCTTCTCTTTAAATACTAAAACCAGAACTCCAGGTGTAAAACCAGCAGACTGCTGATGGGGTCAGACAGGCCGCTTTCTTTTCAGGTCAGCATCACCGTGATCCAGCCTGACACAGATCCTGGAGTGAGGCACAGCTGCCTCCATCACCTGACGTCTCGCGCTGTGTGCCAGGTAGACAGGAGGCAGCGTGGGCGATGAAGGCGGAGCTGGTGGCCCACAGAAATGATGAGCAGCAGTTCAACAGACTGCCTGTGCAAACATTTAGCCCACTGAAAGAAATCATCCAGGAAATAATCCATTTAAACCTCAATCTGTCTGTGCCTCCACTATGAAGAGGATTTAAGGTTAACCATTTCCTGTATCTGTTAAATCCTAAATATGAAGATATCAGAGAGAAAAAGATGGAGGAAAAGAGGCATCGAGACACTCTGACTCTTCATTCAGACTTCTACCTTTAGACATGGGGTCAGACATCCAACAGGAAGCTGGACGGATTATTGCAGTTATCTTCTGTGGCTGATAGGATGGACATCTCCAAATGCAGAAAATATATGATTTATTTGAATACAGAGTAAGATTTACTGATAGGGTAAAGACTGAATTATTTAATGCAAAATCACAAAGCAAAGATGTTACATTTTTCAGTTGAATATACAGAACTACCCTGAAAACAACAGCTTTTCAAGCTCAGGTCTGAATGACTATTTCTGAAGCCTTTATCAAAACCTGGCTGATCAACAAAAACACTGACGCTTAGTGTAAATCTATGCAGACTGCAAATGTGATTCGTATTCATTCAATAACAGAATTCAGAAGTGAGCAGAATAACATTATGAACAATGAAGGCATACAGCCTGTCTTCCAGAAATCTTTTCTTAACCTCTGGCTTTTAAATACATTTTAAAAGCAATGCTGCTCAAAAACAACAGAAACTTTAAAATATCTTCATAATCTTTTAATGTTTGCTTCCAAATAATAGTAAAATCCTGACCAAGAGTAATGCTAAATACTAACACCCAGTTTAACTCAAACTGGTAAAGATTGTTTACAATACAGAGGCTATTAAAGGCCATCATTTTAATGTATAAATAAATTAAAGGAGCAATAAAAACTTTACCACTAGGTGGGGCCATTGAGCACTTGGCTGTAGGCTAAAACAAGAAGTGTGTAAAGCGATGCTTTGACCCATTTTGGCAGAAGATTATCTTTTTTATAGGTTTTTATGGCACTAGTGGCTTGTTTTTTCGAATGTAGACTGAAAGGAAAGGGGGTATGAGAGAGAGGGAGAGGCATGCAGGAAGGGACCACAGGCTGGATTGGAACCCGGGTCGTCTGCTTCGAGGACCGTACATGGGTCGTGCACGCTAACCACTGTGCCACTTGCACTCACTGTATTCACTCTTGTTAAATCTTTAAGGGGCTGAACTAAAGATACACCGAAAATTTGCAGAAGAAAAGTGCATTTTCGGTTTTCAGCCGATAGACATTTAACACAGAAAAAAAAAAAAAAACAAACACAGCCGAAACTTTTGATGACGCGACAAGCTAGGCTCGTGAGACCATCCTGATCTCGCAAGCTTTCAAGGTTTCACTCGCAAATCAGTCTGGAGACTCTCCGTTAAAGAAAGCGTTCACCAAACGAACCGTTCACCAAACGAACATCCAATCAGTGTTGGCTTTGAGGCGGGTTGAGGTGTGACGCAACGAGAAGCGCGACAGTTCAGTCTAAAGAACATGACGGCTTCAGCCGATGAAACTAGCGTTAGCATGTAGTATTTCTTCACTGAAAGAAGAGCAAAACACTGCTCTGGAGGCTTTTCTCAGAGGAAAAGATGTTTTTGCTCTTCACCCGACTGGTTTCGGCAAGAGTTTGATCTATCAATTGGCTTGTGGTTGTGTTTCCGTCGTCGCTCTGTTAGTACGTCATATGCTTCGTTGATCTGATTGGTTCCTTTGGCCCGTTTATCACCAACATAGGCCAATCAGCTAACCAGTATTTTCGCCCCTTCCCAAAATTACCTCAACGGAAGGTTTCCAGATGGATATGCGGAGCAAATCCATCTGGCGGAGTCAGGTTAGCGACAAGCAGCACATTAGGCTTAAGGGGGAACAAGCATTTAAGTAAACAGCACAGCCGGCGTTTAAACGCTGCACATCTGTCTCACTGCGCGCTCAGGTAAGTGGCACAAAATCCTATACAAATACAAACACCCCCAGAAATGTTTGGAAAAGCGCAAGAAAGTTTGTCAGTGATTCTGCAGAGGTGAAGGGTTAAGAGGGGATTTTACTTCTGCAACCGTACACATCAAATGTAGCTTGGGTCTGGCTGCGAACCAGTTTTGCTGGTATGTTTCTGCACCGCCGGTCTGGAATTTCTAGGGATGCACAGCAGTTTTTCCGCCAAAGAGCAAGGGGGAACCTATTCGAGAACTCGCAAGAACTTCGGCAGATGGTCACAAGAACTTAGACATTGAAGAGAGACAGGTTCTGTCAGTGGAGTTGGCAAAAAGACCGATTAACCTTTAGTCGTAGTTGTCCATTGCTGTTGTTCCTCGGTTTTTGAAAATGGCGCGCCCCGGCACCGATCGAGAAGGACGAACACAGAGACAGCCTGAAAGGCATACCAAGGACCAATCACAGCTGCTTTTTGTCTGCAAACTTCCGCTTGAGGTCTGCGCGTGTTTGCAACCGTCCAACGCGTAGTCAGGATTTTTTTTAGGTGCACGAAAACGGTTGTCCCTGATATTGCTTGTCAGACACAAGACCTGTATTGCAATCTGGAAAGAATATTTCGGGACGAGACAAAACAACCAATCACAGCCAGAGGAGCGTCTGATGGAGTGTCAATCACAGCTCACACACGCTGAATCCCGCCCCCTCCCTCTCACCGCTGAACCTGCCGCTGCCGCCCGGCTGCTGCAGTCAGGAGCACGCGAGTGGAAGTCATGGCGGAGCGACAGCCACCAGCGAAACAGAAACTGCCCTTACTGCCCCTGCCGACAACTGCTTACACGGCAAACTTCGGTATAACCAGCATCTTATATCTAGCTGCTTGGAGGTGAGTGTTATCGCTCTTACCGGTTCACACTCAATGCCGCCTACGCTGCTTGGACGCTTCTGGTCGCATGCGGTAGCCGCGCAAATGCTGTGAGAGGGGTGGAGCTTGGAGGTGGGGCATGAGTGAAGCAGAGAGGGTGGGGGAGTGGCGTGAAACCTGTTTTTCTTCAAATTTTCAGTCGAAGTCTACTCTCTTCTCAATGTAACAGACTGCAGCTTTAATGTATTGTATCAATAGTAGGAAATGAAACATTGAAGTATTGTAGTTATTTTCATTTAGATGCGTTTTATGTGAGCAGTTTTTATGATAAAGACATTACAAATGTAGTCACTGTGGTGGAGATAACTAACAATTATTAACCATCCACTGTTCCTGCTGCCACGGCATCAAGGTATTGTCAGCCTTTCTGCCGAGCTGACCGGTAAACGCAGTTAGCTCTGCAGGAGCCTCGCTAGCATGCTCAAATACTGCAAAAACTCAGCTGAGGAGAAAGAAAACAACACGACCAGTTTATATGCAAAGAACTGCTGCCAGATCATGTGGATCAGCTGATGTTTTTGAAGAAAATAAAACATGTATTCCTCTCTTTGGTTACAAGTGCTCTGCTGTTTCTTTATTACAATGACAGTAACAGCAGCTTCAACGACTACTCAATTAAACTGAAGCCATGTCAGCTGCATATATCTTAACACTAATGTTATATTTGTAACGTTTTTATAGTGGAAAAACAGCAGTGGAAGCAGCAGGTAAATCTACTTTTGATTGAACCAGAAGAGATATTTCACTTTCCTTTTAGGTTAAAGTTGTAATATTTTTAAATTAAATAAAGCAGTATTAAAAGTATGTAAACCTACTGATAAAATATTTACTGAACTTAGTGCACATTAAGTTAACAAAGGTTAACTTCCTGTTGATTAATATCCTCAGATAACTGTTGTTAATATCTTTTTCTGTGGTTCTTTTCAGCTTGCACGCAACCAAAACATGCTTAACCCTTTATAGGGCAAGTTACTATTTTTGATCACTTGCATACCCCTTACAAATGGAGTCTCCTCCCATTCCTCAGTGAGGTCTAGAAACACAAGATCTATATCCAGCCATATAGCAAAGATCCCGCTACATGGCTGTACATCTTATTTTGGCATTTGACTAATAGGATGAGCCCTTGAATGATATATTACTGTAAATTAAGCTGAAAAAGGTTAACAAGTAAAGAAAAAAAAAGGTAAAAAGCTAAAGTTAAAAAGTTAATAAGCCTTGTTAACAATTATATTTAGGTTTATAATCTAAAAATTTTAAGTGCCATTATCAGCATTAATGCCTCTAAGGTTATGTTGTACAAAAAAAAATTTGTTGCTCATAAATTTCTTATAGAAGCACTTTTGTTATTTATTCATTATTCAGTTTACCTATACCAGCTTTAATCTGGCTACGTATACGAATTACTTTTCCATTTAATGTCACTCATATTTGGTATACATTGTTCTAATACGCAGGCAAGCACACACACAACAGAGAATTATTCCCACATTGAACTGGATGTTGAAACGGCCAGAAATGATTGGCGTTTCCGGGATGTTGAGAGAAGAAACATCTATAGCTAAAACCATATTAGTCGATATTAATTTACTTTTTTTTTTTACTTTTTACTTTAGTAGTAAAAAAAAAAA